ACGAGTGTCCGTAATTCAGAGTTATATTTTATGAAATAAACTGACTTACAGAGGAGATTTTTTAAATATTATAACTCTAAAACATTTTTATACCTGTCATTTTATTGTGGCTCTCGAATTGTAAGTTGTGTTTATACTGGAATGGAAAATAGGATCCAATTATGTGGCAATCTAGACAGTTTGATCTAACCATATTTGACTTGTATTTCTAATGAGTACATTAAGAAAATTGTCTGTTCTGTTAGCTTTCTTGATTTAGAGCACTTACATCATGAGTTCTCAACCTTTTCCAGATGTGGGATCACATTCACCCTTTCTTATCAACTTGAGGGCCACTGGACTGTAAATGATAATTTATTGAATAGTCATTGGAGTTTATTACAATGCTAATAAATTTCCCTCACAACAATCTACATATTAATCAATAATAAATATTACTTAACAAATTTGTTACTTTATTAACTAATCTCTTAAAATTAAATATATTCTTTGGATGAATGTTTTTTTCATAAAATATGATATAATATTGCAAAATTGTATACCAGTTGCACAGAACACATCAGAGGGGTAGCATGCAGCCCAAAGGTTGAGAAACACTAATCTAAAATATATGGAGCTTTATTTGCACATCCCTGTGCATGGTGATGTTGGTCTGAGTTGTGATGTTGTGTAGATTTGCAGGTAGATACTAACACTTCAAAGGAAAATACTGCCTCCATGTTCAGCCCCGAAGACAGAGGCAATATGTTCCTTCAAAATATTGGTACCCACCTACATGGCGTGACAACCCAGGAGACTACTATCAATCACCATAATGAGAACCAATGATCTAATACTCCCTGTATGCTTCAGCATTGGGATATTTTTACCTTTAATTTCTTTACAGTATGATGCTGTTGCATAGATTAGTTTTCAGGTGGTTCTTGTGTCTTGCTAATCACTATTCAGCACATAAAAGTCTAAGGAATGGTTATTAAGGCATGACTAACAAATTCATATGCTTCAAAGTGGATGGATGTTATCACCACAAATAAGATATACTTCCACTAAAGGATATACAATTACATATGTAAATTTGTTTCAAGGTCTCCTGTTAAGTGTTAGATTTATTTTTTACAATGTACTAAACTTTGTAGAGGGTCTTCTTTAAGTAGCTGCTATTCACACCAATTCAGCTAACATAAAGAATACCTCTTTTTATAGAATCTCAAGGTTAAAAACAGACATAACATTACCCAGCTATTGGATTATGTCCTGAATCAGCACCTTTGAAATGTTGGTAAACTTCTACCTACAACTGTGCAACAACCCAAAAAACAACCTCTTTATATTCACTGCCATGAAAACCTTAAATCTCACCAAGTATGAAGATGGCTGTCTTCTGGATGTTACATTGTGTAGTCTGGTAAATACTGACTGACATTTCAGAGAAGTTTACTGCCATCCATCATCAGGATGATGAGTAAGCTGTTCACAGAATGTTGGGACCTTGCGGAGGTCCCCTCCTTTTGCCATTGGCTCTCTTCCTTCCTTCTCTCTCCCACTGGTCTTGTCCAACCTACTCTTATTATCTGCCCCAAATTTTTCAGGTGCATTTTACTTATCACCCTGCTGATGGAGGCAATCAGTATCTACCAGACTACATGGTACAACATCCCAGAAGACAGCTATCTCTTTGCTATATACTTAGAAGGTACAAAGTAAGATAAATTCCTGGAATAAACTATCTCCTTCTTATACTACCTTCAGCTGTATCAGAGGTTACAAGAATATGAATGTATGGTCATCTGATTACTTCTAGAATTGAATAAAAGGATACTTGGTTCAGAACTGTCAGCATGTATATTAGCCACGAGCTCCTGCAGTTGTGTTCGATGGCACTTAAGAACCCATGGATTGAGTGCCATCTCCTTTCTGGTTCCCATATTTCCAGAAGTTCCCGCTTCAGACTGGTCTTCATGAAATAATCCTTTGACATTGCTGTCAACTTCAATACTACCAGAGCGGCGCATACGAATTCTGCTGCTGCGGATCAGAACAAGTCTATGACTAAAGAGTTTTTGTTTAAGTTATCACTCACGGAACACAAAATGTCTGTAAACACTTACCAGGAATGCTGCCTTACAGACTTCACACTATTAAAGTTTCAAGCCCATGGATGAGGTGGGATCTCGAAGTTCCACTTCAAGTGTTCCTGTGAGGAAACATTCTCGGTAAGTGCCCACAGCAGTAACTGAATTGTTTAACGAAATATAACTGGTATACTATTAGTATAATAAACCTATAAACCTACCTTTTGTCATTGGCATGTATTGGTTTGTAGCATTCAGGTGGTGTGGCAATGAGAGTGACATATCCTTCTTCTTGTACAACACGAACTTTAACTACACCATAAAATTTTGGAATAAATCTGCGCACAGAGTCAGGTAGAGTCTCATAGAACTGGAGTTCTCTAGGAACAAGTGGTTTGCATACAGTTGCTTGGTCCAAACAGAGCATTGATGAATGTCCTCCAACTTGGTGTATGAAGGGCTCCAGCTGGAACACATTTTAGCTATGACAACACACTGATCATTCCTTTTAAATCATTTTTAAAAAACATGGTGACAGTTATAAAAGCTTTATTTTAAAAAAAATGTTACTTACATGAAAGTAGTTGTTTTCTGACGAAGATTCCATCGGCTACGATACCATGTATGAGAGAATATCTATCCTGACTGTATAAAAATCGCAGTTCAAGTTACACTCAGTTCGAAATGGTCTAAAGTAGTCAGTCTGAGCAGTAGATGGAACGTGCAAAAAATCAATAAGTTCATTTGAAATACTAATAACATGGAAGAACATCCAGAGTACTATTCGCTTTTTAACTTCACAAGAGTCAACAAAACGTATAAAATGTATGTATTAACAAATTATGTTTAAAAAGCATTACTATTTTCTGGTAAAGTCACTAATATAACATTTATTAACACGACGTCTGCTGGTATACGTAATCCAATGAATATGCTAAAGTCACTTTTTGTGATAACTATCACATTAAATAAAATAATTGTGTTTTCTGTTCCAAAATATATACTTATTATTGAATTTAACTATAGAGTATACATAGTGATATTGATGTTAAACTACCTGTATTAGCCTTATCACTTTGAAATGATAATTATATTCAACTTGACTTTCCCACCTTGATCGCGGATAGCCTGGCCAGCTGATCGACTGTTCATTTCATTCACAACCAGCAAGCAACCAACATGGACGATAGTGTAGTGGTGTCTTCGTAGTCTTGGATAAAGAGTGCTGATTTCAGTGCTCGTTCTTCTGATTGATAATTTTTGTAACGTTTAGCGGTCTGTGATTAACGAATGTATTTGCCTAAAGGGCATTAAGTTTACAAAACACAATAAAGTAAGTCATTATGGCGGGCGACAAGATGCTACAGCGGTGAGAACTTGCCGGATATTAAGTATTTTTGTGGAAGTAAAATTTGTTCAGTTTCATATTTGTTTCGTGTATGGGATAACCGAAATTTTGAATACCATGGTGAAAGAGAAGCCTAATTCAACCCGAATATATGATGAAGAAGGCTATCGTAGACGGGCAGCTTGTATCTGCGTAAAAAGTGAACTGGAGAAAGAGGTATGTAGCAGGAGATTAATTATTGTAGCTCAAATTCTTCGTTATATTGTTTATTAGCTTTTGCTTTGTTATTGTTGAAGTAAACAAGAAAAGGTGTTGCAGATTGTTGTAGGAAGACGGCATGTTTGTTTGCTTGCTTGCTTGAGAAACACGCGTGTAACGCATGCCGTAAAGCCTGGTGTTTGTACCGGTTCACCGATCGCTGCAAGTACATTTTAAATTGCCAGTCCAATGATTGTGATCGTGGTATTACAAGTGACAACTGTGACATTGCTATGCAAATTGTGATTATAAATAAGGTACGGAGTCCAAGACCCTTATTGTCATGTTTTATGGACAGTATTTATTGTATTGTTTTATTGCATACACAAGGTAATCATGATGTAAATACGTAACAGATGTGAAGAACCTGTACTTTAACTTTGTTTTGGATATAAAGAAGCTTTCTTTTCTCGGTATGTTGCTGTTATCGACAGACTCTGGACCAATTCATATCTCGGCAGCGACAAAAGTAAATTGGCATTAAGGGTGGGGATTTTGGTTTTCCTACAGACCTCAGTATTTTTTCTTTTCCTACAGACCTCAGTATTTTTTCGAATTAATTTGTAGCTTTTGGATGGAAGCTGGTGTCCCAGGAAGTAGGCCATGGAGGAATATCCAATTTTCGGGTGGAAGCAGACTGTAATGACCTTAGTGGTGTTAAATGGCTTATTTGGTGATTTAGTTGTATTGGGATGCTAATTTATAATAGTGAAATACGAAGGTGTTAAACTGTAGCGAATGTTATCAGCTACATTGGTCAGTTATCAGCCAAGTTATACAGCTTACAAAGTTCAAAATAGTCGCGTTAATTAATACGATGCAAGTTTTGACTTATTTCTAGTTTTGTTTACAGTTTAAACACGCAGTTAAGTAATAGTTCATTTCTTCAGCTTGAAAGGGATGGCAACTTCTTTACACATTAGTACATGTTAATTTCGTTCGACGTACTTTAATATGGTTGGCGTTTCATTAATACTTCAATATATTTTGTATTCTTTGTGCTACTGTAAATTGTGGCTGGGTTGGGCATAGCATCTAAAGCCTATGGAGAAGAGCCTGTATCATGTTTAAGTAGAACCGTTTGATACATGTGGCATGATGACCTTGAAGCGGAACATGTGGTTGTAAACTATACATGTAAACACTTAACGCCAGTTTGTGTAGACAACCTTCTAGTCTCTAGTAGAGCAGATTCCTTTGGGAAGCTCAGCTAATCAAGAATTTTTCCATATTTTATGGAATCTCATGGTTCTTTACTGTGTTCAAAAGAGCCTGCCACCAGTCCGATAGAAGTTGTATTTTTTTCAGCATTAATATAATAGTTATAACAAGCTTGTAACATTCAGGATTTTTATCTCATTTATGGGGAAATTTTGTACTGTATGGCAGTTGAACATACACTTTTGAAATTTTTAGGCGTCGTCACGCTTTAGCGTGAGCGAAGAACAGCTTATGGCCCCGTTCGTGTCTGTCTGTCGCGGCCTACCGACGAGATCGTGCTGCCATTTGTTGGTGGACGTACGAACTACATGTTTTGCTATGTATTAACTCGAACGGCTGATTTGATTTCCATTAAATTTGACATTGAACCTCTTCTGTTTGGGGCTGGTCCAGACCAGTGCTTATTAATTTCCTACAGTCGGTAACACTGATGTGACGGATGCTCAAAGTCGTGAGGAAGGGTCTTGTGACATCATAAACATCGTGTTGCCATCTGTGTGAACTATTTGTTGTGCCACCCATCACTGACATGTACTGCTGAATCTGCAATTTATCATTGTTGGTCGTGTGAACTGTATTCGCCATTCTGTCATGTCTTAGATCGGCTGTTCGTGCTGCTATCTGTCAATGGCCACGTGGATTAAACACAGAATACAACACATTTATTGAAACTTGGCTACTTAAGCAGTTGATATTGGAAAGAGAAGGAAGGATGTAGGGGCGGCTATCTATATGTTTTTCTTTTCATCCCCGTTTTATTCTCATTGCGTTAATTAACGCGAACAGTGGGTTAAGTCTTGGTTTGGTGACTATCCTGACCGAGGTTTTGTGGTTTGACACAGTCTCAGTAGACAAATTCTGGGGTAGTTCTTTGAAATAGATCATGTCTGCTTCTTTTCATAAACTTTCAACTTTATTCACCGTCATATGGCTGCTTCTTTCCATAAACTTTCAACTTTATTCACCGTCATTCTACCATGACCTGTGTTAAAAGAAATTTGCGTTAACTCAAGAATAAATCGGTTGTAGCACTGTGATGAATAAAGTTCAAATGTGGTAACACATTTTGTTTGCTCTTTGTAAGTTCCTGAACTACAAATCATATGCCATAAAGAAAACTAAACAACACATTATACCATATGTTTTTGGATTGCCAGACATTTAGCAGCTGTTGGGTTGCAGAATTGCTGACTGTATTAACTTAGCTGTTTCAATATCGTCATGTGTTGTTGGTGTCACAGGCATTTAATTAACATAAATCCAACATATGTTTGTTGTGTACTTTATTGATTTAATCTTTCCCAGTGGTGCAACTATAAATATTAAACTCAAACTTTGTTCCATGGAATTGGGGTTCCATGGATTTTACCCCTCGCCATGATTAAAAACAAAGTCCTTTTTTAAATTAGAAGTTCAGAAGTTACTCAGAAGTACCAGGAAAGACACTTGCATAACTCAGATAGAATCCATTCAGTGGTCCTTCCCACAGTTAATATGTAAGAAATAATGTTACTACAGCTACCATGTAGTGATGTTGATTTTGTGTTATTTTTTAATTTAAATTAGATTAGCGTTGTAGTAACAAGTCAGCTTACTAAATCTTGCAGCCAGAGTGTGGAGTGTAGATCTATAGAATCATTCATCAGTTGAGGTATTGACAGAACATTATATAAAACTCAATGGTTAGAAAAATACCGAGTTTCTTCATTCATTCTCTCCAGTTTGATGAATAGCAAACATAACCCAAATACTAAAATATACAAAACTTTTATTTTATCTGTTGTTTGAAATCTGGTTTCTTATTCTAAGGGGAAAACATAAATTACAAAAAAGTGTTTGAGAACGAAATACTGAGGAAAATATTTGGACCTGGGAAGGAGGTGATCCAATTGTGGCGCCTAGAATTTTCGGAGTTTTGTCTCTTCACTCCAGCACAGGGATAACTGTGCCCTGCTTTTTCAGCTGTTATGGGAACGACAAAAAATTGATTGGTGTCCGTCGTGTTGCTATGGTTATTGTTATGTCCTTCGTCGTGGCGTCTAATATTAGAAGCCGCCGGGCTGGCACCTGAACAATCCTATTTCTCGTGAAATACCTTGTCTTCTTGTTCTGTTGCTATTAGGCTTACATAAACTGACACAGGCCCAGAAATAATTAACAGTTGCCAAACAAGATGTGCTGTTACGCCCTTCATATTTTCACTGCCTGAGTTTGTAAGTCGTGGTTCTTTGCTGTCCCTTGCGTGACTCGTGTGGCTTCGTATATTTAACTTACTAGAATCTTTTTCACAGGTTACTTAAGATAGGGCGACAATATTTTTAGGGGGATTAGGGGATTTATCATGGACCGAATACCACGTTGTAGCGGTTAGAACTAGTTCGTATTTGGAGTTATCGGATTCAGGTTTAGTTTCGAAAACGAGCTGTCGTGACTGAGATTTCTCTTTTTGTTTTCTCGATGCCAGGCGATGCTGTCTGGGATAGTACCATTAAAGAAACAACAAACACATTCTTTCACATGCTCCCAGTCATTTATAGCCAAGCTAACATTCGAGTCTTTAGTCTACGAATGTAAGTAAAATCTAACCATTTGAAGCCAAAACGCACCTAAATAACATTTAAGAATTCAGTCATACCGCAAAGAGAACACAAGTTATTCATCATTCACCAAGATCAGCTTGTTAGTTCTACCAAAGGAAAGAAACCGTGTTTACAGTGAGAATCATACGAAACCCATAAATGCAGTGTTTTAAATATCACTGGAGATTTAGGAAGGTGGAAATCGGGTGACCCTAAGTATGTGAATGTTAGATTTCAGATTTCAGGTTGTCGATGGTTTCGATACTTTGAGCAGGTAGTCGGTCACATAAGGCCGAGGAGTATCGATGACTAGAACACCTTTTGAAAGTATAAAGATGGTCCCATCATCAGGGCGATGAGCCGCCCTGATGATGGAGGCAGCAAGGTAAATTTCTACCAAACTAAACGGTGCTACAGTCATTTGTTCTCACTACCGTGAGAACCTCAGGTACTAATTTTTAAGGTAATCTGCGTCGTTTTCGTCAGATTTCTGGCTTTAGTCTGTTACTCAGCATGTCACTGTATCGAACACAAAAGACTTAATTCCTCTTTCTTGGAAACGAATCCTTTAAGACTGGTGGGGTCCTGTAACTTTCCCTGGTTTGGGCTGTGATTTGAACATGTTGGTTTCTCCAGAGAATGCGTGCTTCCATTATATTCTTTCTTACTGGTGGGTTTAGGGTGGTGAACATAGGTCTTACATCCACTTCGGAGTTATATGTAGTCGTTCTTCCGTGTTGACTTTGCTTGTGATTCACAGTTGTGTTTTTATACGTGATTGTCTTTCTGCTTGTCCGCTCGTGCTCCGGTGACTCACAATAAACACTCCACAAGATACTCCGTGCTGTGGCCTGTGTTTCATATTAAGTACATAACTCGATTGTAGGTTACTCCTCCACGTTCAACCTACTTTAACCTGTTCCATTAAGAGGCCGCCACACGAATATATTAATTGCACAATAAATTGTGCAATTTCGTATCCCCTACGTAGTGCAGATATTCTGTTATAGTGACTTCTAGGGTTAACCGAGCCGAAAATGAATACCTAAAAGGCGTGTTTAGGTATAATTTTGGCGTTAACTGTTGGTGATAAGGGAAAGCAGAAAGCGCGGTTAATGAAAATGGTTCAAGAAGTGACAGATACGATATAGTTTAGAC